AAAAAAAAAAAACAACTTTATTGAGGTATGATTGAGATGCAAAAACTGTACATATTTCATATATACAACTTGGTGAGTTTGTAGATAAATATATACTCATGAAACCATCACCACAATCAATGCCATAAACATATGTCACCTCCAAAAATTTCCTTCCTATTTATTATTATTATTATTTTTGTGATGACAACACTTAATATAAGGTCTACCTTGTTAGGTCATTTCAAAGTTTACAATACAGCATTGTTAACTCTGGGCATTAAGCTGTACAGTAGATATCTAGGACTTACTCATTTTGTATAATTGAAACTTTGTACCCTTTGACCAGTCTTCTCTCTCTCTCTTCCTCTTCTCCATCCCTGGGAAACCACCATTCTATTTTCTGCTTCTATGAGTTTGTTTGGGATTCTCCATATAAGTGGGATCATATAGTATTTGTCACTATGTGTCTGGCTTTTGCTTAGCATTGTCTTCTGGGTTCATCCATGTTGTAACAAATGACAAGATTTCTTTCTTTTTTTGAGGATGAACCATATTTCTATGTCTGTGTCTGTATATCTTATCTGTATCTATCTAGATATCACAGTTTTTTTATTCATTCAACTAGTGCACATTTAAGTTACTTAATGTCTTGATTATTGTGAATAATGCTGCAATGGACATGGCATTACAGATATGTCTTTGATACCCTTATTTCCATTCCTTTGGATATATACCCAGAAGTGAGATTGTCATATTACATGATAGTTATCGTTTTACTTTTTTGAGGAACTTCTATACTTTTTTTCCATAGTGGCTGCATCAATTTACATTTCCACTAACAGTATACAAGGCTTCCAGTTTCTCCACATCCTTCCTAAGACTTGTTACTTTAATTTTTTTGGTTGTTTTTAGTAATAGGCCCTAATGGATTTGAAGTGATATTTCATTGTGGTTTTGATTTGCATTTCCCTGTTGATTAGTGATGTTGAGCACTTTTACATATATTTGGTCATTTGTATGTTGTTTTACAGAAATGACCTTTCAGTTCCTTTGCCCATGTTTAAATAGGGGTGTTATTACCGCTGTTGAGTTGTAGGAGTTCCTTCTGTATTTTGGACATTAATCCTTTATCAGATATATGGTTTGCAAATGTTTACTCCCATTCTTTGGGTTGCCTTTTCATTTTGTTGATGACTTTCTTGTTTGTGCAGAAGCTTTTTGGTTTGATGTAATCCCACTTGACTACTTTTGCTTTTGTTGCCTATGCTTTTGGTTCCTGGATCGAACATACACATTTTAGGATTCTTTTTTCTATTTATATAAAAATTTCCATTGGGATTTTGATAGGGATTGAACTGAATCTGTAGGTCATTTGTGGTAATGGATGTTTTAACAATAAAAAATATTCCAGTCCATGAACTAGAGATGACTTTCATTTATTTGTTTATTCCTTAATTTCTTTCATTAATGTTTTATAGTTTTTAGTGTATAAGTCTTTCTCCTTTTTGGTTTAGTTTATTTCAAAGCATTTTATTATTATTATGCTGTTATAAATATGATGTTTTCTTCATTTTCTTTTTGTATAGTTTGCTGTTAGTATATAAAAATTCAATTGAGTTTTATATGTTGATTTTGTATCCTGCAACCTTATTGAATTTATTAGTTTGAACAGTTTTTTTGTGGAGTCTTTAGGTTTTCCTATATGTGGGATTATGTCATCTATAAACAGAGACAGTTTTACTTCTTTTTCCAATTTCAATGTTTTTTCTTTCTTTTTCTTGCCTAATTTCCCTAACTAGTACTTCTAGTACTACGTTGAAAAGAAGTGGTAAGAGTGTGCATCTTTGTGTTGTTCCTGATCATAAAGGAAAAGCTTTCGGTTTTTCATCATTAAATACGATGTTCACTGTGGGTTTTTCATATATGCGATCTTTATTAAGTTCCTTCTGTACCTAGTTTGTTGAGAGTTTTGATGACGAAATGATGTTGAATTTTATCAAATGTTTTTTCTGCATTTCTTGATCATGTGATTTTTATCTTTATTCTGCTAATGTGGTGTATCACACTGATTTGCATATACTACCATCTTTGTATCCCAGGGATAAATCTCACTTAGTGATGATGTATGATCCTTTCAATGTGCTGTTGAATTAATTCAGTTTGCTACTATTTGTTGGGGACTTTTGCATGCACCTTCATCAAGGATATTGTGGTTTTCTTTCCTTGTGGTGTTTTGTCTGGCTTTAGTAGCAGGCTAATACGGGCCTCATAAAATGATTTGGAAGTGTTCTCTCTTCTATTTCTTGGAACATTTTAAGAAGGATTCATATTTAAATGTTTAGTAGAATTTACCTGTGAAGTCTATGGTCCTGGGACTTTATTTATTGCAAGATTTTTGATTACTCATTCAGTCTCCTCATTTGTTTTTGGTCTTTTTAGTCTTTCTCTTTCTTCTTATATCACTTTTGGCAGGTTTTGTGTTTCTAGGAATTTATCCATTTCTTTTAGTCTGTCCAATTTTTTTTTGCATACAATTATTCATAATAGTCCCTCGTGATCTTTTTCATTTCTGTGGCATCAATTGTAATGTCTCCTCTTTTGTTTCTGACTTTATTTGAGTCTTCTCTCTTTTTTCTTTGTCTAGATAACTAAGGATTTGTCCATATTTTATATCTTTTTAAAAAATCAACTCTGGCTTTGTCTATTTTTTATTTTTTCTATTTTTTGTATTCTATATTTTATTTATTTTTGTTCAGATGTTAATCATTTCCTTCCTCCAGCTAACTTTGGGCATCTTTTTTTTTTTTTTTTTAGTTTATTGCCCTTTTTGATATTAATCTGGGTAGCATGATTGCATGCGTATACCCACAAGTGTAAACTATAGTTCAGTTTTTAACAGCTTTATTTATAAATAAACCACACATTATATAGTTTACCTATTTAACTTATTGTACAAACAATTCAATGGTTTTCAGTATACTTAGAGTTATTAAATTGTCACTTCAATCTAATTTTAGAACATTTTAATCACCTCAAAAAGAAACCCTATACTCATTAGTGGTCTCTTGCAATTTCCTCCCAGCCACTCCCCCTCTACTTTCAGCCCTATGCAACCTCTAATGTACTTTCTGTCTCTATGGATTTTCCTGTTATGAATATTTGCTAGGGAATTTGGCAGTATGTGGCCTTTTGTGGGTAACTTCTTACACTTAACAGAACATTTTCAAGTTCTTTCTGTGTTTTGGCCTATACAGTACTTTATTCATTTTTATTGATGATATTTCCTATTTATTCACTCATTGGTTGATGAATATTTGG